AGACTTGGATTGAAGGTGTGAATACAATTATTAATTTAAAAGGCTAAATAAATATTTACTATTTCAGTATTTATAATATCGTTGAAACGCGTTTATTCGTTCTAATCCAAAGCTACTGAATTGAGAAGTTTTTTGGTTTTTTTTCAAGATTTAAAAGTGTAATTACTTGACTGTTGATAAAACTAAAACTTGGCATTGAAATCTCGCAGATTAAAACTGACATAATTATGATGCGTTAAGGTTACATTGAACCCCTAAATTGTTTATCAAATTGTATGATTGAACTGTATATTTTGCTATGCTTTTCAAACTAAGCATTTGAAAGTATATTTTTTTCTAAATTGTTTTTTATTACTGGCAATATATCTTGTTTGCTCTGCTTAAAGTTAATTAATGGCTGGCTGACTTTGCTTCTTCAGAATTCAAATTTTGCACATTTTAAAAATTTGATACTTTACGTATCTTCAACTGTTCATAACTTTGAAAAAGTAAAATTTCGTTAACATATTTTTTGTTATGTTGGTATGCGTATTTGTAATGTATCAGATGACACAGACTGTAAAAAAATAGACAAAGCAGTCACGTGAAAATTAATTTATAGAGTAATCTCTAACGAGTTTATTGGGTTTTTTAGTGCAGAGCTACACCATGGACTATCTGCACCCTGTCCACCGAGAAGAATCGAACCCCAGATTTAAGCATTGTAAGTTCGTGAACTTACCGTTTATCCCCCTGGAGGACAAGTGTTTATCAAATAAATATCTAACCTCAGGTTAGATGTTTGTATTACAGCTGATACATGAACAAAACATGAAACTAGGGTACAGGAAGAAAAATACCATCAATATTGCAACTTGTATCAAAATAATCTTTAAAAAATGTAATATAGTCTACGCTGATTCACTAGGTCACCCCTGTTGACAGTTGAAACATCGATCAGTTATATTCCAGACGGTGAAAAATGACAGTCTGGAATTGTTAAATAATCAAATATTTTTGTTTGTTGTTAAGCACAAAGCGACACAACTGGCTATCTGTGCTCTGCCCACCGTGGCTATCAAAACCCAGTTTTTAGCATTAAAAGCCCATGGAGTTACCGCCGAGCCGTCAGGGGAACATAATCAAAGAACGATGATTTTTTTGTTTCAAGAAAGTTATAATTATTACTTTGTTATTTATAATTTTGATAATTTAAAGGAAACTTGAAAAAAAAAACGAAATATTAAACTTGCTTTTTCTGTTCACAGAATTTCACTCTGGAAGCTTCTGGAACAACTGAACAGTTAGTTACTATATACGTCCTACATATAAAACTTGTCTTTCTTTTCTAGGAATCATCCACTTGTACCTTGTTATGAAAAGACTTGTGTTTAATCATAGAATTACCTTATCGGTTTCTTAAATAAATTTCATAAGTGCCAAATTGTTTGTGGAACCATGGCTGTTTTTTGCAGGATCCCTAATAACTTATCAGTCAATCATAGGCATCTGCCAGTTTTCCACTGCGTCCTCCGATACGTGTAATCTTTTTGTGTAGCTTTGTGCATAACTACAAACAAAAAATTTCTCACTGGAAGGATCGAACCCCAATTTTTAGGGTTAACCTCCCCTCCCTCCCTCCCCATAAGTTAACCCCTGAGGAAGTAAAATTGGACTACTCTTTTACCAGCTAATAGTGGGATTGATCGAATCATCATAACGCCTCCACGGCTGAATGAACGCACCTAACCGACAGAGTAAAAGAGAGCTATGTGTCATACATACTTCAGTCGTCGAGTTTGTTTTACGCATGTCACGCGATCAGGCCCTAGCAACAATAATCAGAATAAAAATATTGACTTCCGCATTCGGGTGACATTAAATCATGTAATATTTCTCTAGAGACTTGTTACTTAATTAACCAATACATTGGTCTACGTGTGAAGTAGGCGTACAAAACTATTTTGAGCTACTGTAGCATTCACTACGAAATTAAAGATAGCACAAAGCTACACGATGGGCTATCTGTGCTCTGCCCACCACGGGTATCGAAACCCGGGTTCTAGCATTGTAAGTCCACAGACATACCGCTGTGCTACTGGGGGGGGGGATTTTAGTAACTTAAGTGTTGGCGATGTGTGTGGTGTTGACTAACTGCCTTTCCTCAAGTCTATCACTTCTGAATTAGGGAACGCCAGCGCAGATAGCCCTCGAAAAGCTTTGTGCATAATTCAAAACGAACAAACATACACTTTACACAGTCATGTACTGAATTTTATTAACATTTAATAATAATAATAAAAACTTCTAACGTTCCTTTTATGCTTCACAAAAATATGTCTAAAAAGTTTCAAGGTAATGCCAAAACCTAAAAGTAGTGCGTTTGAAAATGTTATGAATTCTAAAATAAACTCTAGGTACGAAGTAGCCTATTTTAAGATGAATTGGATAAAGTGAATAATTAGTGATTTCTTGGATTTATAATTCGATTATTTTTGATCATTTGTTTTGTGTCTATCAAAAAGTAGTTGAAATTATTTCAAAAACAATGCCAATGTTAATGTATTTGGAAATATTGTGAATTTAAAGTAAATTAAATAAAAGTTAAATTATTTCAAATCTGTAATAGCTATTTTATAATTAGGGGAAATAGCTGGCCCTGTTTTTCGGTTTGAAAAATTGGTCAGCCTAAACATTTCAAAATAACAGCCTCTGCGACAGATAAATGGACGTTAAATGAAGTGCTATTAATTTGAAATATAAAACCAACGCTGAACAAACAGCGCCACTGCATCTAACTATGATAAATTTATCATGTCTGAAACGAGCAAAGAGTGAAAACTTTGAAACCTTTGTCGAACAATTAAACACAAGGATTAACATCAAAATAAGTAGGCAGGTGCTGCCATCTATGTTATTGATACTGAACTTTTGCTATTGAATCAATTCCAAACAGGAAAAGCTGAAACTAGACCTTTTCCCTCAACCCAGTGGCACAGCGCCAAGCCCGAAGGCTTATAACACTATAAACTGGGTTTCGATACCTGTGGTGAGCACAGCACAGATGGCCAATTGTGTAGCTTTGCCCTTAACTACAAACGTTTTACTTTTCTTAACGTGTGCGAAAAAAAACAGTTTAAATACATTAGGTGAGTTTTCAAGCTGAATGTTCCCTTTTTTTCCAGTTAAGGAAATTTATACAACCTTTTTTTTTCCTTTTCTACTGTGAATTCTAATTAAAAATCGGAACAATAAAACGATGGATAAGAGCAGTACTGAGATTATGCACCAATAACAACGTGGAAAACGAAATTTAAAACATAAAATAATATTTCAAAACAAAACATAACTGATGAAATAATCTCGAAAAAAAATGAACAAAAACAAGAATAACAAGAGAACTTACCAATACGTTCAATGGATCAATGCCATTTATAGGTGTTATTAGTAAGAAATTAATTAGCTAATGGAACAAATTAAGTAAAAAATACAAACTAAATGCAAAAAAGTAAAATCGTAACTAAGCCAGGAATCAGCATTAATAGTTTTCAACTGAAGTTATATAATAACGAAAAATATGATAATGGTACAGTGTACGAGAGAGAATGTTAAGACTGCAAAAGTTTCCTTGTATATAGGGGAAACACAATAGAGAACATGAAAAACGAAAAGAGTCAAACGTAACTTAACATATAATTGAAAAACAACGTAAAATAAATTCTTAAAATATTGAATGAAAAAAGCATTGAAAGCATCAAGAATCAAAGGATTAAAATCGAACATAAATCAGGAGCACCGTTATAGATGCATTGAATTAATTACATTACAAACCAAATGAAACTAGTATAATGATAAACACAATTATTTAATTTGATCAGGATCATTTAGTGGCCCTAACCAGCTGGAAAACTTATGGGCCGATTAGAATAGCAAAACAATAATAATTTTTTTCCTGTTATTTTTAACTTATTTATTTTTCTCTAAAATCGTAGATTTGTTTTCATCTCTCGAAAGTATCTTTACTCCAGTCTCCTGAATGGAGCCTCTAGGTTTCTGGGATTCCTGGCCTGTTTTTAAACATTATGGGAAATCCCTGTAACGTTTGAAGTGAAAAGGGAATTCCTGGAACATGTGAATGTTGGAATTGATCCAAACGAAGTCTGACGAACATAAAGATCTTAATGGTGGAATAACTTACCTGTTGGTCAGTATTGAAATAGTAATCTCAAGTCACGTTATTTGTGTGTTTATCTAGATTGGCATGAAGACTGTGTACATTCCATGTTTTTCAACTGAAGTTCTGTTTAATGTTACACATATATGCAATTCTGTCTTTCTTTAAAAGATTCACATCTGCTATTGATAAAATACAACTTGGAGTGGGCTCGTTAGAATCTTTGTGAACGACCAGTTACATATAAATTTTGCGAATTTCGGAACCTGGGTTGGGTGTTTTTGTAATTCTAATTTATTTGTACTTTGTATGTTTTATGCCATCACGTCTCACTTTTAGAGACGAAACGTTGAAACTGATATAAATTGTTATCCTACAAACAGTTGTTTCAAAACTTTATATATGTCCGATATGTAAGTATATAGGTGAAGAAAGCATTAAAAAAACTTTTGATTTATTACGTCACACATCAGTGATGTCACTGGTTTTGGTTTTGAGTTGTTGAAAATGAATACCGAGTTAAGTAGCGAGTTATATGTTTTAACTCAAAAAATTTTGTGGTCGTCAGACGAGTGCACGTCATCTTTCATGCTCGATACCGTTCGATCACAATAGTAATACTTTTACCAAAGAAGAATTGATTACACTTAAGCCTCACAATCACAGTGGAACAAAGAGAAACACTAATTAGAACCCACTGCGATTGTTTTTCTTCTTCTTAATAACTAGAATAAATGGAATTTTATAAACAAGTTAATTTGTTGCAAATTAACTATTTGTATTTCTTCAATACATTGTCTATTTTTTCTTCTCATTAAGTCTGAGAGTTATCTGTCAGTCCTTTTTCTCGGTGTCTCAGAATAAGCTTGAGGTCTTACGACGCTAAATTCGGAGTTCGATTTCTATAGTGGATATAACACAAAGAGCCCAATGTGCAGCTTGGTGCTTAACAGAAAAGTGCCAGTCCCACAACGTAAACAAAACCAGGTTGTTACTGAAATAGTTTACAGTTGAACTTAAAAGAAGAGTAACTTACGTCAAACACAATTAGCGGTTTTTATATCAATATATATCTTTGTATAAATTTACACAAACTAATAAGCTTACAGTCTAAACGTGTACATTTGATCTTAATGACTCACTTATTGCGAAACTGTCCAGCAACACCCCATCGCGTCGTTTCCTCTTTCAAAATTTCTACAGTACGAACGTCATCTACAGTTCAGTACAGTAGAGATCGGTGAACGGCTGTAAATGTAAGTATATTATAATGTTTTCTACTTATTTATTGTTCTTTAGATAGCCCAGCAAGTTCAGTCTCAAAATTTTCATGTATCTTTAAGTTTTACGTTTACTTTTGACGCTACTGAGTACTATATTTAAATATATCTTACAAACGCTAACTTAAGCCTCAGAACATAGACACGCTAATTGTATGACGGGATATCTGAAACTCTCGATTTTTACTATAACAAAGCTAAAAGTTAGAAAGAGATCACACTTTTAGTTCATTTCATACATGTAATTGGCTATCCTAACCTGTTGGTTATCAATGGTTCTTTATATATATTTTTTTTTTCTGTTGACTTCTTTCGACATGATTATTTCGTATTTCAATGCGCTTTTGCTGCGTTCGTCGCGCCTCTCCTATGTGTTCGGACAAGTACGAAAACTCAGTTTTCTTTCCTAAACTTTGATCCTTTGGAACTTTTCCAGCACCATCTGAAAATTTTCATCTGTCAAATATATATTTCTTTAATCTTCTTCCCAGCCTTAATTCAAGATCTGTGTACAATCCTGCTGTTGTAAGCTACATTTTTAATATTCTAATTTGTTGGTTAGAGAGAGCTGCAGGTTTTTGATGACGCATTGTGACGTTAAGTTCACGTCAGTTTTATAACTCTAAAACAAAACTTACTTATAATTTTTATAAACGCGTCACTGAAATCTCGAGTATAGTAGAATTATTTAAGATAAAACTTAAGAGAAAGTTATTTCAGAATAGAGAGTTGTTATCAGAGCTTGTTAACTCGCTACATTGAACAAATAAACCTGGGTGTAAACTTAGGCCTATAAGATACAACAGTGTCCGATTTCCAAGCTTGTAATAACGATAAAGGAACAAATAAACCACTTTGTGACTGTTACCAGACTGGACGTTAAATTATTTCGCTAGATAATTTTAAATAATCTGCCAACGGAAGAACAACGTTACGACAGTGCTTTTGGCCGAAACTGTCCATATTTTACATGTGGTTTACAAATATCTTATGAAGTTATGTTTGTTTTGATTTTCTAAGTAAAAAATAAAATAAAAGTATAAAGCTTTCGGTTCATCACTATATTTATAGATTGTTTTATAAACTTCGTAATCTTACGTAGGACAATGCAATATTGCCCAAAATGATATTTTGATTATTCAAGTTTGCATAAATTGGTTAAAACCCCTGGGAAATGTTGTAACAGATTCACTTGTAGGCAATAATTCTGAATCTGTAGGTAGGTCACCATACCTGACAGAGAAAAACTCGTCTCTACACCTCACCAGAGTATGTCGGTAAATCAACAGCACAGGATGAACACCAGTCAAATTAGTAGCATGGTATATGTCAGTAAAACAACAGCATAGAGTAAGATATATGTCTGAATTGTAAAACAGTATGCGTCAGTACATAATAATAGATCAGTTTATATCGTAACACAGTATTTGTCAGTACAACAACAATACATAGATCTTCTTAACCTATACTTCCCTCTTTAGAACAGTGATTTTCAACAGTAAAATCGTGCTTTCCTTCGTTTGTCAGGTCTTCTTAACCTATACTTCCCTTTTACAACAGTGGTTTTTAACAGTAAAACCGTGCTTTCCTTCGTTTGTCGGGTCTTCTTAACCTATTACTTTCCCTTTTAGAACAGTGATTTTTAACAGTAAAACCGTGCTTTCCTTCGTTTTGTAGGGTCTTCTTAACCTATACTTCCCTTTTAGAACAGTGATTTTTAACAGTAAAACCGTGCTTTCCTTCGTTTGTAGGGTCTTCTTAACCTATACTTCCCTTTTAGAACAGTGGTTTTTAACAGTAAAACCATGCTTTCCTTCGTTTGTGGGGTCTTCTTAACCTGTACTTCCCTTTTAGAACAGTGATTTTTAACAGTAAAACCGTGCTTTCCTTCGTTTGTCAGGTCTTCTTAACCGTGATCTAAAATAGGTAGAGAATACCAGTATATGTTAGAACGACAAAATCAAAGAAAGACTGCTGACGTTGGTATTTGACTTTATTTAATTTGGAATCCTGCCCAAGGCACTTCTCCGAATTATTGCGTCAACAGCTGGAAAGATGTGTACCAAACGTGTAAATAATAATGTATATGCACTGGTATGGTGACTTATTATGAATTTAAATCTTCGCCCCTCACCCCCTTCCACACATACTTACACACACCAGTAGCACGCGTGTTGATTAGTTTGATTTTTTGTGACACTTCCTGGTGTTTATTAATATAACTGCCCTAAGTTTTTCTTTCAGTTTCCACATATAACTCTGTCATGTGTGTACCAAAAAAGTCTCTTCCGAGGAATTACCATTTCAATTTTATCTTTTATGGCTCCTCCTAGTGGGTATTATTGATTATTGTCTCGTGCCGGTTATTTAAACACCATCCTATCAACTTACATAAAACGTACTTAAAACTGTTCTTACAAAAATACTTGTTGCATGTACTCCCCTGGTGGACGCTGTAAAAACTATTCTCACGAAACTGTGAGTTTTATATTCTACCCTGGTGTTGCCCCCCAGTGGCACAGCGGTATGCCTGCAGACTTACAACGCTAGAATCCGGGTTTCGATACTCGTGGTGGGCAGAGCACAGATGGCCCATTGTGTAGCTTTGTGCTTAATTGCAAACCAAGAAACAAACCTCGGTGCTTGAAATATAAAGAAATGGCAGACCTAAAGCCCTAAGTTTGTGAAATATTTTTACCTTTGACACCTGTAAAATCAAAAAAGCACAAATCTCAAATCTGTTTTAGTCTGTGGGAGTTGTCCTACGGTATCATTGTCCAAAATTCCATCCGGATTGATCGAAGCATAAAGAAATAGCAGGCTAAGAACCCTAATTTTGCGAATTTTAAAAAGTGGGCCACTTTAAGTTCGCAAGAATGGCAAAAAATCTCAAATTTGTCTGCTTCAGTTCCAGTGTGGATTGTTGCAAGGTATCTTTGTGTTATGTCTTATTTGGATTGATGGAAATGCAGGCCAATTATGTGTTTTTGTAATATTGACCTTTGATTCCCTAAAACTGGAACGAGGGACCTTAATAAAATAATTAAAAGTGTTCTGGAACAAGGTAGGTCTATATGCCATCCAAAAGGATCATTGGTCCAGTAATATAATTTTTCATCTAACATTGTTAACACAAAGAAGTTGTTTATTTTTTATACAGTAAATGTGCATGTGCGTTCACGGCTAGTAATATAATTTTTCATCTAACATTGTTAACACAAAGAAGTTGTTTATTTTTTATACAGTAAATGTGCATGTGCGTTCACGGCTAGTAAGGCCCGGTATGGCCAGGTGGATAAGGCGCTCGACTCGCAATCTGAGGGTCGCGGGTTCGAATCCCCGTCCCACCAAACATGCTTGCCTTTTCAGCCG